TCTAGGTAACGCCTGTTTACCAAAGAGGTTGCAGCCGTTTACACTCTACTAGCTGTGTATGAGAGTTTTACTTGTTCTACATCCTTGCCAGCACTTTTTTATTAACACAATTTAATTATGCCAGTTTGCTTGTGGTGTGATCTCTCATTGTGGCTTTCATTTGCATTTCCATGACTAATGAGGTTGAGCACGTTTTCATGTTTCTTATTTTATAGCATTACTTACTGTATATTGCCCATTTTTAAAAATTGAGAATTTTGAGGGTTTTTCATACGGAGTTTTAGGAGTTCTTTGTATATTCTAGATAAAAGTTCTTTATCAGTTCTATATGTTGCACCCATCTTCTCCCACTCTGACTTGCACTTTTTCTTCTCTTTTCACTATCCTTTGAATAGAGTTTTAAAAAAATCTTTTTATTTTGAAATTTCAAATTTACAGAATTCTTAACCACTGAGATTGGGTTATATATATTATGTCCCCCTTTCCCTTAATACTTCATTGTATAATTCTTAAGAACGAGGATGCTTTCTTGCACACCGGTTATTAAATTCAAGAAGTTTAACACTGATACAATGTTTTTAAAATTGTGGTGGAATATACATTAAAATGGTTGAAATGGTAAATTTTAGGTTATAGTTCTATGGTATTAGGAACATAAAATGTAAATTTTTGCATAACCATAACCACCGTATACCCCCAGAACTTTTTCATCTACCCCAGCTGAAGTTTTGTACTCATTAAACCCTAACTCTTCATCGCCCCCTACTCTCAGCCCTTTCTGTGTCTATGAATTTGTGGAATCATACATTATTTGTGACTGGGTTATTTCAGTTAGCAAAATGTCTTTGAGGTTCATCCATGTTGTAGCATGTCAGAATCGCCTTTCTTTATAAGGCTGCTTAATAGTCCCTTCAATGTATATATCACATTTTGTTTATTCAGCTGTCAATGGACATTTGGGTTATTTCCACCTTTTGACTATTGTGAATAGTGCTGCAGTAAACACTGGTGTACAAATATCTGTTTGAATCTGTTTTCAGTTCTTCTGGGCATACATGTAGGAGTGGAATTACTGGGTCATGCTAATACTGTTTAATTTTTTTGAGGAAACATACTGTTTTCCACAGTGACTACACCATTTTACATTCCCACCAGCAATGCACAAGGGTTCCAGTTTCAATTTCTCTACCTCATTGCCAACACTTGTTATTTTCTGCCTTTTTTTTCCTTTCTTAATACTAGTCAATCCTAATGGGTGTGAAGTGGTATCTCATTGTGGTTTTCATTTATATTTCTTTAATGATTAGTGATGCTGAGCATCTTTTCATATTCTTATTGGTCATTTGTATATTTTCTTTGGGAAAATGTTTAAGTCCTCTGTTTTTGAATTGGGTGTATTTTGGGGGGGTTGTTGTTGAGTTGTAGGAGTTTTTTTTTTTTAAATAGATTTTGGACATTAACCATTTACCAGATACATGATTTGCATGTATTTTCTTCCATCTGTTGGCTGCCTATTCATTCTGTTGATACTGTCCTTTGCACCAAAGATGTTAATTTTGATGAATTAAATTATCTATCTTCTTGTTCTCATATCTAAGAAATGTTGCCATATCCAGTGTCTTGAGACTTTCCCGTTTTCTTCTAAGTTTTATAGTTTTATCTCTTATGTTTAGGCCTCTGATTCATTTTAAGTTAAATTTTATATATGATGTATTGTAAGGTCCAATCTTGTTTTGCATATAGATATTATGCTTTTACAGCATAACCTGTTGTAAAAGATTGTCTTTTCTCCCATCGAAGGGTTTAGGTATCATTGTCAAAAACCATTTGACCAAAAATGTGAGGGTTTGTTTCTGGGTTCTCCATTCTGTTCCACTGGTCTATATGTCTGTCTTTGTGTCAGTAGCACACTATTTTGATTTCTGTAGCTTTGTAGCAGGTTTTTGAATCAGAGAGAGTGAGACTTCTAACTTTGTTCTTTTTCAAGATTGTCTTGGCTGTAAGAGACTCTTGAGAATCTACGTCAACTTTAGGATGGATTTCTCTCTGCAAAAAAAAAAAAAAGTCATTGGGATTTTGATATGGATGACAATGAATCTGTATATTGCTTTTTGTAGTGTTGAAATCTTAACAGTACTTAGTCTTTCGATCCAAGAATAGGTATCTTTCTGTTTATATGTGTCTTTTTAAATTTCTTTCAGCTATGTTTTATAATTTTCAGTGTATAAGTCTTTTGCCTCCTTGGTTAAGTTATTCCTTATACTTTATTCTTTTAGAAGCTATCACAAATGAAATTGTTTTTGTAATTCCCTTTTCAGATTGCTCATTGTTAATGTATAGGAATGCAACTGGTATTGGTTGGTTTTTGTGCCCTGCAGCTTAATTTGTTTATTCTAACTTTTTTGTGGAATCGTTATTGTTTTCCAAATATAAAATATCATCTGCAGGCAAATAATTTTACTTCTTTCTTTCCTATTTGGATGCCTTTCTTTGTCATGGTATTTACATTTTTGAAGGCTACACAACTAATTATTTGATAGATTGTTCCTCAGTTGGTTTTATCTGAAGTTTCCTCATGATTAGATTCAGATTAGGTCTCTTAACCTGTGTACTACATAAGTGATATTGTATCCTGCTCAGATGATCACATCTGGAGACAAGTGATATCCATCTGACCCTTATTAAGTGATATTAATTTGATCACTGTTCAGAGCATTGTCTGTTTTTTCCACTGTGTAATTATTGTTTTTCTCTTTGCAACTGATAAATACTCACTGGGGAGATACTTTGAGACCATGCAGGTATGCTGCTCTGCATTACACTTTTTCTCCTTGATTTAGCATCTGTTGATGATTCTTGTCTGAACTAGTCTTTACAGAATTGTTATTTTCTAATTCTACTACTTCCTATCAGTTGGCATTGTACTCTAAGGAAGAGCCCTGCTTTCGTGGGCATTTGTTTGTTTGTGTTTTTTTTTTAAATATTTCTTTATTGATTTCAGAGAGAGGAAAAGAGAGGGAGAGAGAGAGATAGAAACATCAATGATGAGAGAGTCATTGATCGAGCCCGCAACCCGGGCATGTGCCCTGACTGGGAATCGAACCCCGATCGCCTGGATCCTAGGTTGATGCTCAACCGCTGAGCCACGCCCGGCTGGGCAGGGCATTTGTTTATTTCATGGATTTATAATTAATATAGGTTCATGGACTTCCTATTTAACTCAGTGGTTTATAATTCATTATGATCATTATTTATTTGGATGCTCAGATTGCCCTTCACTTAGCCAGTGGGATTCCCTTTAAAATGGGTTCTGTGCTCTTTTGAGAACAAATGTCAAATGTATATTTTATGGGTAGTGTGTTTTAATTCTTGAAGAACTTTTTCCTACCCTGAAATCACCAAGATAGTTTCTATGCTCTAAAAGCTTTATTATTTTGCCTTTTATATTTACACCTGTAATTCAGTTGAAATTGATTTTTACACATAGTATGAAGTAGAGGCTAGTTTCATTTTTCGTGTGTCTCAAGATGTTTTCCTAGTTGACCTAGAGCCTTTTTATTGAAAAGAACATTCTTTCCTACACTATAATAACACATATATAATGCATCAGTCATTCTTATATCAAGAGTGTTATTTTTATCTCTGTGCCAGCATCACACTATCTCAATTACAATGACTTTATAACAGATGCTGATAACTGGTAGAGCAAGCTGTCCCTCCTTATTCTTCAAGTGGTATGGGATATTCTAGGCCCTTCGTGTTTCCAGTTTTTCACTACTTACAGAGGATGTGCTCTTTTGGGGGAGGAGGGCAGGGAGCTGGCTTCTTTCACTTACGGGTAATTATTTTGAGATTCACCTGTTGATGGACATTGAGTTATTTCCAGTTGTTGACTGTTATAAACAAATGTTCATAAAAGCATTATTTCTGAGTCTTTGTGCAGAGTGAGGAAGAAAGGGCTTTCAAGCAAGATTCTAAACTCAGGAGCCATAAAATAAAGGCTGATACAATACGTATAATAGTGTAAGGACTAATTCCGTGGTGTGTAAAAGAAAGATTGAGCAAAGAACATGAACAGTGAGCTGACAGAGATGACTGAAGTAAGATATTTATTGCAGAATTGGTTGTTATAGCAAAACACTGGAAACAGCCTAAATGACCATCAGTAGGTGACAGTTAAATAAATCATGATACATATCCTATACTGATATGGAATGATCTTCAAGAAGTTTCAGAACAATGTATATAGGACACTGTGCTGGAAAGAACATAAAAAGGCAAATATACATATGTATTTGTATATTTTTAGTTTATGTATATATAAATGCTCATATGTGCATGGATAATGTATGGAGAGAGAAACTGACTGTGGTTGCCTTTGGGGAGGGAAATTGGAAGCCTGGAAACAAGGACTGGGATGTAGACTTGCATCCAACTGTATCTTCTGTTCTTTTGCTTAAATTTTTTACTATATGCCTTTATTATCTTTAAATTAAAAACTAAAAAGTAAAGCCTGTCACCCTCTGAAAATACCAAAGCATTGATTATCATTGTCTCCAAATGGTTTCATTTAAGGTAGCTGGTTCATTTTAGGCATGCTGCATTTTAGGCACACTGCATTTTAGGCGCACTGTCACAGTGCCTCTGTTTCCTCATCTGTAAATGGGACGAAGGGATAATAATACCTGGGCTTTAATGACACATTTTCATGAAGTGCTTAGAAAAAGACTTCATGCACTACAAGTTATGAATGACCCAGAAATGTTAGCCACACTGCAAGTCATTTTCCTGAGATAGAAACATGCAACAAAGATTTTAAAAAATAGACAGGAAGGAAAACTTAGGTCTTTAGTTTGGATAGGCATCTTTGAGCTGCATCCTTTCCTGGTTCTGCTACGTGTCACTACCGTCTCTGTTTTTGTCTTTTGGGCTATGGGAACCCATAGGTTCCATCTAGCTCTGCTGCTCTGAGATTGATCTTTCTGGAATTCTGATTTCAGGATACTTCCTACCTGTTCATCACCGGCCCTGATGTTGTGAAGTCTGTCACCAATGAGGACGTTACCCAGGAGGAGCTTGGTGGTGCCAGGACCCATACCACCATGTCAGGTTAGAGGCTTTGAGGCTCACCTTACTGTGTTTAAACACTGAGAGGAGGTGCATTGCCAGAGAGAATGGTGACAGTCTTCTACAAATATTACTGAATTGGCAGAATTTATTTGAGAAGACTAGTATGGTATATTGGCTACATATATAGTAAAAAAAGATGGATTTAGTATCAAATTTGTTAAAATAGTACTAATGTTTTGATACTTAAAAATTTAAAGCTAACTGGACTGGTGGTTATAAGTGGTATGACTTACATATATACAGTAGAATCTTTAAAAAAATATTGTATTTTATTGTGACTTTCTTTTACTCAGAGTTGGGTATGTCTTAGAGGAGATGGCATTTTACCAGTCATCATTGGCCAGGTACAGTTGTAATGTGATGATCACGGTCCACATATTCATGAACTTGGTCATAGCTCTTTACCTCTTTGAGGTTATTTGCCACACATGCCGAGTTCAAAATGTATAAAGATTATTTGGTGCTTTGGAATTGAAACAAAAAGTTATTGTCTATACTGAGAGGCATGGAATTGGGAGCAGGGCATGAATCTGGTATTAGTGAGGACATTCATTGTTGGAGTAATGGTTGGAATTCCATGTTTTCTTGGAAAAAGACACCAAGCTCTGAAAGGGTTGCCTACCACACAGTAACTGAGAACAGGAATAATTGCCTCTTTGAAATATTCCAAAGCAGTGTGTGGCTGGTATGACCGATTTATGCACTGCATTGTATTGTGGCTAACTCATTGTGTCATCATTTAACTTGAAGCATTTTTTTCTTAGTGTACATATTATAGAGTGTTTCTTAGTTTCAGTGAAATGTTAGATTTTTGATTTTTTACTTTAGATATTTCTTTATTTTTCAATTATAGTTGACATACAATTTTATATTAGTTTCAGGTGTACAACCCAGAGATAGACACTGCATAACTTACTAAGTGATCATCCTGATAAATCTGGTACCCATCTGACAACATACATAGTTGTTAGAATGTTATTGACTATATTCCCCATGCTGTACTTTACATCCCGTGACTATTCTGTAACTACCAATTTGTACTTAATCCCTTCACCTCTTTCACCCATCCTCAAACCCTCCTCCCATCTGGCAACCATCAAAATGATCTCTGTATCTGTGAGTCTTTCTGTTCTGCTTGTTTATTTTATTTTTTAGATTCAACTGTTGATAAGTATTTATTGCCATTTTATTGCTCACATTTTTGATATTTTTCTTCTTAAAGAAGACCCTTTAACATTTTATGTACTACTGGTTTGGTGGTGATGTACTCCTTTGGCTTTTTCTTGTTTGAGAAGCTCTTTATATGTCCTTTGATTCTAAATGATAGCTTTGCTGGGTAATCTTGGTTGTAGGTCCTTGCTTTTCACCACTGTAAATGTTTCTTGCCAATTTCTTCTGGCCTGCAAAATTTCTTTTGAGAAATCAGCTGACAGTGTTATGGGAGCTCCCTTGTAAGTAACTAACTGCTTTTCTCTTGCTGCTTTTAAGATTCTTTGTCTTTAACCTTTTGCATACTAATTTTAATTAGTATGTTTTGCAACAGATTAGTTTTACTTAGGATAATAATAATTATTCATATTGTAGCATGAATTAATACTTTATTCCTTTTTATTACTGGATAATATTTCAATATATGGCTATAACACATTTTGCTTATTGATCAGTTTAAACATTTGGATTGTTTTCACTTTTTGGCTGTCATGCATATGCTGCTATAAACATCCATGTACAAGTTTTTGTGTGGATATGTTTTTGTTTCTCATGAGTATATACCTAGGAGTGGAACTTCAGGGTCAAATGGTAACACTAACATTTTGAGGAAATGCCATGCTGTCCTCTAAAGTGACTGTGCCAGTTTATAAATCTTGAATGAAAGAATCCTGTCCTGTTGAACATACTTTTTAAAAAATATATATTTTTATTGATTTCAGAGAGAGGAAGGGAGAGGAAAAGAGAAAAACATCAATGGTGAGAGAGAATCATAGATTGGCTGCCTCTTGCATGCCACTACTGAGGATCGAGCCCACAACTCGGGCATGTGTCCTGACTGGGAATTGAACCATGACCTCCTAGTTCATGGGTCAGTGTTCAACCACTGAGCCACATCGGCAGAGCTGAACATTCTTTTTATTCATCAACAAACACAGAGTAGGTCAAAAGTGGTTTTACAGTTGTGAGTACACGAAACAGTTTATTTTTGTATTATTATTTATTAATTATTATTGTATTATTTTCCATACAAACAACTGTAAACCTACTTCTGTCTCACCCTGTATTCATTTAATGCCTGTGTGTCAAGCATTATTCTACATGCTAGGAATACGTTTGTGAAAGAAACAAAAAGATCCCTACTTACAAAGGTCTTACGTAGCAGAGAAGATAGACTGTAAACAATAAGCTTAATAAATAAGATAATATGTGCTGTGGGAAAATTAGAACAGAGTAAAAGGGGTTGGGATTGTTCTAGTTTTAAATAGGTGGTAAGGACAGGTGAGTAGATTAGAAGGGGTTAACTGCATGGATATCTAGGGGAGAAGCATTGCAAGTAGAGGGAATAGCCTATGCAAAGGCCCTGAGGAAGGAGAGTGGCTGGCATGCACAATCAACCGCTGGGAGGGGGTGTTTGGAGCAGACACATGACGTGATCTGACTTAAAAAGCTAACTTTGGGTGTTGTGTGGAAAAGAGACTGTAGGGGCAACAGCAGAAGCAGGAAGTCTGGGGGGGTGAACCTGAGAGGCAGCTTCTGGCCCTACTCTCTCTTATATCTGTGGCCTTGTTTGACTGTTCTGTGAATTCAGCATTCTTGAGGAATAATGGCTTAAATCCTCACTAGGGCCAGGCCTTCCACCATTCATTCCACCATTGCGGAGTACCCCGGCCTTACGTGCCAGCCATTATTCTTTTATTATTTTATTTTCCAGCTTTGTTGAGAGATAATTGATATAATCAGGCATTATTCTTGATGCGGGCCTACACAGTAAGACAGGCCTGGTCTCTACTGTGTTGGAGCTGATACTCTAGGGGAAATGCCAGGTGGTAAACAAGGAAGGAAATAGGTGCGGCAGGGAAAAGTGAGAAGAAAACTCCCACACAGTACAGGGATGGGAAGCAAGGGGTGTTGGCGGGGAGGGTGTATTGTAGAGAGGTGTCAGCGAAATCCTCTTTGAGTAGGTGACATTAGAGCAAAGACCTGCATACAGAAAGGAGTGGCCTTTGCAGAGGTACAGAGCAGAGGGAACAGGCTGCCTGAACTGCAGATCAGCCTGCAAGTGCGTGGCATCCGATCTTCAGAGGAGGGGGGCGATGACAGAGCGATCAGCATCTGCTGCAGACATGCGCTAGAAGGGGCAGGTGGGCATGAAGCAGCAGTTTGGGGCTGCCAGGCCCCCTGGCCCATTATATCTTTGTTTTCTCAGGTGTTGCTCACAAAGCTTTTGAAAATGATGTGGATGCCTTGTTTAATCTCCGGGAGTTCTTCAACTACCTGCCCCTCAGCAGCCAGGACCCGGCTCCCATCCGCGAGTGTCATGATCCCAGGTGAGTTGCAGGCTGGAGCACCCTCTCTCATTTTGCAGTTTGACTTGCTTGTGTCTGGCCCCTCTGCCCTAGCTGGACCTTCGGGGCCTCTCCCGTTCGGCAGCCTGGGGTAGATTGTGGAGTGCAGTGGCTTTGTTCGCACGTGTGGGCAGTGGTGGGATGTCTGTGTATAGGAGCAAAGAAAGATTTTCCTTTCATTTACTTTTTCCCCACTGTGTAATGTCTGATAAGTAGCTTGGGAATAAAGAGTGCCAAAAAAATTGATTTCTTAGAGTCTCGTTTTGTCCAGAATTAGAGATGGAAGCTTTTTTGTGTGTTTTGATATGAAATAACCGTGAGGTGGTGTAGATAGCATGCCTTTTAGGAACTGTTTTTATGCACACATTCTTGTGGCCAGAGGCTGGGGCAGTCCTGAGGAAGGGTGTGTTGCTGGCCACCTAGTGAAGACCTTTCCTTTTTGCTATTTGGGCCACTGCCTTATGCAAGGTGTACCACAGAGTAAGTCGGAGGCCCAGATGGGAACCTATTGCTCGGAACTCTGGCTGCTTTCTTCTCTATTTTGTTTCCTCTGTGATTTTGAAGTACTCACTTGGCCTGGACTTTCTTCTGCAGAAGGGGTTTGGAATTGTATTCCTCAGGAAGAAGCCATTTTCAGACACTGCCTTCTGGGGTGGACCTGAGCTTTCACCTATGGGTCCCTGCCTGGGCCAGGGATGCTCTGAAGAGTCATGACCCCAAGGCTTCACCCTGTCTGCCCCTGATCCTCTCCTTAGGTGACACATCCAGTGACCCACTATGGGTAATGAAAGGGAAGGTCGTCCCAAGGCCCAGAAGCAGTGGGCACAGCCTCTTTCTAAGCATCTATACTATTTGTGGTTCTTAATAGGTTTAGAGTATCATTTGAAGGTGTTATGACCCCGAGGCCCAGAAATGTCTGAATAGCCTGCTTTGGCCCAACCATACCCCCTCTTCATAGGATCCTAGGGGAGCTATATGCATCTATATAAGTAGCAAGTGAAAAATAGGGGGTATTTTATTATCTGAGGGGGCTATACCCAATGCCCCAGTGCAGAGCTCTCTGGAAGTTGGGCTTGATGAAGGCCAGATTGCAACCCGAGTGTATGTCTCAGGGTCAGAACAACCCCTGCCTGCCCACATGGGACAGGAAGGGATGAGAGCTCGGTGGAGAGGGTCATGCTGCTGAGTCCTGTGGCATGAGAGTGGACCCTGGCTGGAGCTCCTGCTCAGTCACATATACCCAGGAGGAAGCCGAGAGCCAGGAGCCTGTGTGACTGGTTAGTCCTTGTCACACCAGGGGGCCAGCGGCATTGCTTTTTAGAGGAACTGCAGCAGATTTGCCTTTCAGCAGGGAACATAAACCCACAGTAATTTCAGCAGAACTCTGACTTTGCATTTCCAAGTCCTTGTTCTTTTATTTATGTCTCAGAAAGTTAAACTGGGATCTGTGATCGCTTCAATGTCCTTTAGTGCCCCACACAGTCCCTAGGATGCAGGAGTTACTCAGAGAGGATAAATGAAGGAATCACCTTCAGAGGAGTAAGCCCTTTTTTTCCTTCTAAGTGAAAACAAAGACCTTTTGGATTAATATCAAGCTTAGCTTCAGTTTAATATGGTGGTAATAAAGGAATACATCTTTGGGGACTGCTTTGAAAGCCCAGTAAGGATGCAGCAGCCCAGCCCTTATTTCCTCTCCCATCCCCCACCCAGAGAAGGCAACTGGAACTTCTGGTGTTGATTATATCTTCTTTTTCTATCCAAAGTGACCGTCTGATTCCTGAGCTTGACTCAATTGTCCCTTTGGAATCTACGAAAGCCTACGACATGGTGGACATCATACACTCTGTAAGTGCTGCATCTGCCTGTCTTGTCTGTGCTGGCTCAGCCACGTCCATGGTCATGATGCTTTGGCCTAGTGAGGAAGTGCTAGATCCACAAGCCTTAACATCTGGCAGTACAGTTAGAGCATGGGGTGGACCAGGGACCACTGAGTAGTGTGTTCCTGGAAGAGCTAGTGGCTGTAGCCACCCTGCTGGCTTGGATGGACTTGAGGACTGGAGGGAGAAGGCGCCAATTGGTCCAGCAGAGCTCAGGAGTCTTTTGATGGCACTCTGAGGTGCCTAGAGAAGGGGCTATGTCCCTAGAGTCTGGAGTTGATGCCAGGGTGACTCTTTGTTAGGTACCTTTGTTTGGAGCCTTATGCTTTCTAGAGTAAGGAGAGTACGTAGGGTATCCTCTGACAATGTCGAGGTGTGTGCGTGTGCGTATACGTGTGTGTGTGTGTGTGTGTGTGTGTGTGTGGGTTGGTCTGTCTGGGGAGATAGGAGTCATGTGTATCTTTTTGTTGGTGTAGCAGATTCCTGGGTTGTTACGAAGAGAGGACAGTGTCAGGACAAATTGGGGGCATCTGTCAATGGCCATTGTCTCCTTCAGACTCTCATATGCACACCATGTTCTCAACAGTCCTTACTTAATGGAAGCAGATGGCTTTGTGGGCACAGCCTCTCCCAGAACCCTGGATTCCCTAGTGACATATTCCTTCTCTTCCTGTACTCTGGGGAGCCAGCATGAGTCAGTAACCATGGCCAGACTCTGCCTCTCTTCATTGCTAGATTATGTAGCCTTTTGAGCACCATTTGAGCTGTGAAGACAAGACTTTTTTACCAGTGTGCCCTTCTCTGACCTCAGCCTTCAATACTCTACATACTCACAGTTTTCCTTTCTCTCTCCCACTGCCTCTGCTCCTTGACTCTCCATCCCTTAATCTTCCCATTTCTCTGGAGTCCTCAACCCCTCCTGGCCTCTGCTTTCTTGTCCCAGCTTGGACTCTCCCACTCTACCAGATACTAATGACCAGGTACTGTTCTGTTATATGACACTGTGATAGACAAAGTCCCTGACTCAGGGGCCTCATATTTGGGTGAGAGATAGAGGAAAAAAAGCATACATGGCATGGACAGTTTTGGATCCAAAAAAATACTACAAAGAAAGTAAAATAGGATCTCAGTCATGAGCCCCCAATTCTCTTTTTGCCCTGTTCAAGGCTTTAGCCATGTTTCCAAATACTGCCTATGGGGCCTGAGGCTGCTGGAGGAGCCTTGAGCCCCAGAGCCCTGCTCCAGCCTGAGCTGGGCCCTCAGTGTGCCTCTGGCCAGAGTATGCACCATGAGCTTCCCCTCAGCACTGGTTCTTCACTTTTCCTAAGGCCTGGTCCAGCCCCTAACTTCTTTCTGCATTCCACACTCTGATCAGATGATATGGGCATTTCCTTCATGGAAAAAATGGAGAGTATCAGGTTTCTCACTCCTCACAAGTGACCATCTCTTTGTCCTTACTGAATGACGTGTCTCCACCGGGGCTCCTAACTTCATCCCTCCCCTTCCAAGGTCTTGCTTTCTTGACTGGTCTTTAAAAATCTATAACTTTTTCTCCGTCTCGTAACTCTGTTCTCTAAGTAATAATGTGTATGAACATGTATAGTTTTCTTGTCTACTTTAAAAAAAAACAAAACACCTCTTAACCTATATCTCTGATTACCTGCTGTTCAAGTTATTTTCTCCCTTTTCATGTAAGCTTCTTGTCTCTTCTCTCCTCCTCACTGGAGAGGCTTTTGGTGTTACCCCTCTGCTGAGTGAAAAACCTTTTAATGACCTCTCTAATTGCTAAACACAGGGGACTAAGGGCATTTCATTGGTATAGTCACAGAGGTGACCATATGAAAAAATATAAAGCTTCCTAAGTAACAAAACTATTAGATAGAATAGAGCAAATCAGATGCGTCATGTAGAGAATCAGACGCCTCCTTGGTGCTCGCTTCTGGTCACTGTTTCCCCCAAAACCCCTTAGAGAAACCACCATCCTGACTTCACAGTGCAGATTCGTCTTCTGGGCTTTGTGTATCATACAAGTGGAATCAGAGTGTGTGTGATCTTTTGTGTCTTGCTTCTTTCACTCAGTGTTATGTTTGGAAGATTTGTCCATGTCGTTGCATATGTTCTCAGTGGTCTCTAGGTTTTTGTATGAACAGACCCATTTATCTACTGTTGATGGGCACTTGGGTAATTCCTAGTTTGGGGCTATTGCATATAGTTTTGATAACATTTTATTTTGTGATTTTGGTGAATCAGTTACACATTTTTGTTGGACCCATACTGAGGAGTGAAAGGACTGCGTCACAGGGTATACATATGTTCAGCATTAGTAGATACTGTCAAAGGGTTTTTCAAAAAAGGGGTTGTACCATTTTGCATTCCCACCAGCAGCCTATGAGAGTTCCAGTTCTCTCATGTTCTCACCAACACTTGGCCAATACCATGTGTTTTAGTTACTGAGAGTTTATAGTATGCTTCCAGTCTGGTAGGAACAGTTCATCTCTACTCTTCTTTCAGAGTTTTCTTGCCTAATCTTGCTTGTTGATTTTTCCATAAGAACTTTAGAGGCAGTTTGTCTTGTTTTCTGGTAAAAGTGGGTAGAAATAGGGAATCTTGTGTGGTTTTTATTAGGATTCTGTTAAATTATGAACTAAACTGGGGAGAATTGACATCCTTATAAATCTGAAACAACCTTAAAAACATAGTTTGTATAAACTGTTTGTTAAAACTGTACTTTTCTCCCCCTTAAGGATTGTTTTAAAGATTTTCTTCTGTAGGTTGTTCACATTTCTTGTTAAGTTTATTCCTAAGTATCTTATCTTTTTATTGTAAGTGGTTTTTGTTTTTTTTGTTTTTGTTTTTTGCTGCAGTCAGGGAATAGCCCCTACCTATTTTATTTTATTTTAATTTAATTTAATTTAATTTAATTTAATTTTAATTTAATTTTTTTATATTTTATTTTATTTATTTTATTTTTTCCGTCACCATTTATCCCCCCATACCCTCCTCCATCTCCACTACCTCCCCGCAATTATAAGTGGGGTCTTTTCTGTCTTCTTTTTTTTGAGATATAAAGAAAACTATTGATTCTGCTTATCATTTTTATATCCTGTTACCTAATTAAAAAATTTTTTTAGGAGAGTTTTAGAGAGAGAGGAAGGGAGAGGAGAGAGAAACATCAATGTGAGAGCGAAGCATCGATCGGCTGCCTCCTGCATGTCCAGTACTGGGGCAACCCAGGCGTGTGCCCCGACCAGGAATTGAACCCGGCAACCTTTCAGTGCACCTGACACCACCAACCGAGCCACACCGGCCAGGGCATATCCTGTTACCTTATAAGTTCTCTAATGATTTGTGATAGTTTTAATGCTTTAGGGTTTTTTAAGTGTACTAGTGTACTGTCTACATATAAAGAGTTTCATCTTTTCCTTTTCAATTATTTTGTTATTTCTTTCTTTTGTCTAATTACACTGTCTCTGCCTCTGTCACCAATGGAGAGGGTTCTTGCCTTTTTCAGGATAGAAATCAAGAGAATAGACTAAACAGATTCACCGAGGAGAAGATTTATTGGGAAAAAGGAGAAAGTTTGATGCATCAAGGGAGCACGAACCAGGAGAGAGCGTGGCTGCCCGATCTGCTGCTGTCGTGTGCTGTTTTGCTTCCTTGGAGAACCTGTGGTGGGGTGGCGGCTATCTAGCTCTGTAATTCTGTAATGTCGTTATATCTTGTTCTTTATCATTTTGAGCTCAGGAGTAAATTTATCTCTACAGGTTGTTGATGAGCGAGAATTTTTTGAGATCATGCCCAATTACGCCAAGAACATCATTGTTGGTTTTGCAAGGATGAACGGGAGGACTGTTGGAATTGTTGGCAACCAACCTAAGGTGGCTTCAGGTAGGAGGGAGAAGGTCTCATAAACCTCAGGTGGTGGTTTGGGGGAGTTGTCAGGGCTGCCTGGGCCCACAGAGTCTACCTTCTGCTTTTTCAAAATAGATGTTGTGAAAGCTCTTTTCTCTCTTAATTTCTCAAAATTCTTCGTTTATACTTTCCTGTTTTTTAAGGGTTTATTGATAACTTTCCTCCTCAACTTATAAGATCTTTACTTTTTTTGTTGTTAATCCTCACTTGAGGATATTTTTTCCATTGATTTTTAGAGAGAGTGGAAGGGAAGGAGTGAGGGAGAGAGACGGGGGGGCAGGGGGAGAGAGAAACATGGATTGGTTTCCTCTTGCACATGCCCTGACCAGGGCTGGGGATTGAACCTGCAACCCAGGCACATGGCCTTGACCAGGAATCGAACCTGAGACCCTTTGGTGTGCGAGCCGGTGCTCTGACCACTGAGCCACACTGGCCAGGGCAGGTCTTCACTTTTTCAGAGGTCTGCTTTTTGTTCCTTTCAATTAAATTTATGGCTCACCCACTAAACTATGAGTTCCATGAGGGCAAGTGTGTTGGTGTCTTATTCACACTTTTATCTCTAGTGCCCTCAGTGGTGCCAGATACATAGTTAGTATGTAACAAGTTAACAGATCTTACTTTGTCTATGCCCTACAGCTTTCTGGTGATATGGCCAGACCTGAGTCACAGCCAGGTAGCAGGGACTCTCCCATGGTTGTGCCCTGGGTGGGGTTGGGAGTGTAGGGTGGGGACTTTGAACTTTTAAGGGTGGGAATTTTAGGGAAGGTTCCAGTGGAGGATCTGAAGAGTATTCACCAGCTTTCCAGGTGTGCTCTTTCAGGGTCATGGTCTCCACTGATGGTTGGCTCCAGGGCAGGGGGTCACTAGTCAATGAAGCTGGCCCTGAGGTTAGCCATGGTGTAGCTTGTCTGGTTTTGATGCTTTTCTGCACCTGGAGCTGAAGCCTAGATGTTATCCCTAGGGGTTAATGCTTAAGGGAGTGGTCATGCAAAGGAGTCACATGAGGCCACTGTTTGGCCCTTTGTTCCTCCTTCAAGGGGGTCTGCTGCATGGCTAGTGACATGCCAGGGGAGGAAAGGTCAGAGGAGGGTCTGAACCACATGACTGGGAATATAAGAAGTCCCCATAACTTCTGGCTGTAAAAAAACAACAACTAGGGAATTAAAGAAGAAGCCATATCAAGACTGGTGGGGGGGGCGGAGATATGGAATGGGCTGGTCCCACACTCATGTGAGGTGGATAAAAATTGGGAGGGATACCTCGGCTTCCGTGGTCCTGAGGAGGGAGGGGTCCCGGCCCCACACCACTCTCCCAATCCCAGGGTTCTAGTGCCAGGATGAGAAGTCCCCATAACTTCTGGCTGTAAAAAAAACAGCAGGGATTGAGGCTAAGGGAGACAGAGGGTTGCTAGAGTCGCAGGCAGTTCCTCTTAAAGTGTCTGTGCACAGACTTACTGGGATGCATTCCCTCAGTTCCAGTGCTGGGGCAGCAGCTGGAAAGGCACCAGAGACAGTCCTGGCCGGGTGGCTCAGTTGATTGGATCATTGTCCCATACATCAAAAGGTTGTGGGTTTGATTCCCGCTTAGGGCACATACCTAAGTTGCGGATTTGATCCCCAGTCGGGGCTTGTGTGTGGGGCAACTGATTGATGTTTCTTTCTCACATCAGTGTCTGTCTCTCTCTCTCCTTTCCTCTCCCTATCTTTAAAAAAAAAAAAAATTCAATAAAACGTATCCTCGCCCTGGCCGATTTTGCTCAGTGGTTAGAGTGTCAGCCTGAGGACTGAAGGGTCCCGGGTTCGATTCCAGCCAGTGGCATGTACCTCAGTTGCAGGCTCGATCCCTGGCCCCAGTCAGGGTGTGTGCAGGAGGCAATCAATTGATGTGTCTCTCTCTCTCTCTGTCTCCCTTCCACTCTCTCTGAAAAGCAATGGAAAAAATATTGTAGGGTGAGGATTTAAAAACAAAACAAAACAAAAATATATCCTCGGTAAGGATTAAAAAAAAAAGTACCAGAGACATAGAGCAAGGAACTGAATTGCTGGGCATCAGAGGGAGGGCCTTGGGGGGGGCAGCTTTCTCCCAGACAGAAGTGCTGGCAGAGGCCATTGTTCCTTTGATGAGCTGTCCCCCAACAGAGCCAGCAGGCTGGCCACATACCTGAGACTCCATCAGCCTGGCTCGGACTGTTTGCCCTACCCTGGTGATTCCCTGAGACCCAGCCCGACTCAAGCTGTTTCCAGGGGCTTTTCCATAGGAATGGCCTGTCTTGGCTCATGCTTCAGTTTTTCCTCTGGCCTCATTATGAATCCTTTTTCTGAATCTATTGATTTGTTCATGTGATTTTTCTTATTTAGACTGTTGATGTAATGGGTTACGTGAATTGATTTTCAAATGTTAAATAAGCCCTTGCATACCTGGGATAAATTCCACTTGGAAGTAGTATATAATTATTTTTATACATTACTGGATTTTTTTGGCTACTATTTTGTTGAGGATTCTAGCATTTTTGTTTATGAGACATTGGTCTGTAGTTTTCTTGTAGTGTCTTTGTCTTGTTTTGCTTATAGGGTAATGCTGGCCTCATTGAATGAGTCAGGAAATATACTCTCTAATTCCGTATTCTGAAAGAGACTGTAGAGAATTGGTATAATTTCATTTTTAAATGTTTTGTAGAATTCACTAGTGAATCTTTCTGGGTTGCATTTGTTTTTTGTATTTTTATTTTATTTATTTTATTTTATTTATTTTATTTTATTTTTTATTTTATTTTATTCTTTGTTAATCCTCAGCTGAGGATATTTTTCCATTGATTTTTTAGAAAGAGTGGAAGGGAGGGAAAGAGAGAGAAAAACATTGATGTGAGTGAGACACATCGATTGGTTGCTTCCCAAATGCATTCCGCGGAGGGCCAGGGATTGAGCCTGCAACCAAGGTATATTCCCTTGACCAGAGTTAAACCCACGACCCTTCAGTCCAAGGGCCAATCCTCTAACCACTGAGTCTAACCGGCTAAGGCCATTTGTTTTTTAAATCATGTTAAAAAGTAGTGTTACAAACAACAAATACAATAATTCTGGCTTTTATATTTCCCCACGTAGTTGCCTTTATTGGAGATCTTTTTTTCTTAAACACTGTCTAGCATCTTTTCATTTCAACCTGAAGGACTCTCTTTACCATTTCTTGTAGGACATGCCTAGTGATAGTGAACTCTCCTCAGCTTTTATCTAAGAATGTCTTAAGTTGTACCTCATTTTTGGACAGTTTGCCAAATATAGACTTCTTCGTTGAGTTTTATTCTTTTAGCACTGTAAATGTGTCATCTCATTGTCTTCTGGCCTCCATAGTTTCTGCTGAGAAATCAATTGAATGTGATGAGTCACTTCTCTTTGGCTACTTCCAAGATTCTGTCTTTGTCTTTTGATAGTTCAACTACAATGTATCTCATTATAGGTCTATTTGAGTTTATTCTACTTGGAGTTAGAATTTCTTGGATTTGTAGTTTTATGTCTTGAGTCAAATTTGGGAACTTTTGGAACATTATTTCTTCAAATAATTTCTCTGTCATTTTCTCTCCTCCTCTTCTGGTACTGCTTAGCTGTGTATGTTGGTTCATTTGATGATATTCCATAGGTCTTTAGTCTCATTGTTCTCTCTTCATTTCTGCTCCTCAGACTGGATAATTCAAATTGTCTTATCTTTAAGTTTTCTTGTCCTTTTTTCTGTCTGCTCAAATCTGCTTTGAACCCCTATAGTGAATTTTTCATTTCACTTATTGTACTTTTCAGCCCCAGAATTTTGTTTGATTCCTTTTTATAATTTCTGTCTTGTTAGTGATAGCCTCATTTTGTTCATACAATGTTTTCCCAATTTTTTTAGTTCTTTATTTTTCTTTGCCTGTTTAAGCATATGTAAGGCAGGTGTTTTAAAGTCTTTAATAAGTTCAATGTCTAGGCTTCTTTAGGGACAGATTCTGTCAATGTATTTGAATGGCTATACTTAACCTGTTTCTTTGTATGCCTTGTAATTTTTTCTTTGTTGAAAACTGGACATTTGAATATTACATTGTGGAAACTCTAGAAATCATATTCTCCTCTTTTTCCTGGGTTTGTTGATTTTTGGTTGTTGAGTACTGTAGTAGTCTTGTCTATTGACTTTTCCCAACTAATTTTTTTTTTTTTTAATATATCTTTTATTGATTTCAGAGAGAGGAAGGTAGAGGGAGAGAGAGATAGAAACATCAATGATGAGAGAGTTGTCATTGATTGGCTGCCTCCTGCATGCCCCCAACTGGGGATCGAGCCCACAACCCCAGCATGTGCCCTGACTGGGAACTGAACCGAGATCTCCTGGATCCTAGGCCGATGCTCAACTGCTGAGCCACGCCCAACTGGGCTTCCCAACTAGTTTTGCAGAGACTATATTCCTTGTTTTGTGGGGTTATTGAAATCTCTGTTCCTTAGCTTGTGTTTTGATAGAGATTTCCTGAACATTAGGTGCTAAAAGAGAGAAACAAGAAAACACCTTTTCTAATCTTTGCAAATTTGGCTCTGTGGTGGGTCGCTCCTTCATCATTTAGCCAGATTTAAACTGAATTTAGGGATCAGCCCAAGGTTAAACTTAATGTCTTCTTAGGTGTTTTGTTTTGTAATACTGTGTTTTCATTTTCATTAATCTCAAGGTGTTTTCTGAGCATGCACCTGGTCCTAGGAATATCTATTTCTTTCTGAAGTACCCTGTATACACAGGTGCTCTTGAATACTCTAATTTCCCAAAGGAACTTTATTTTTTCTCCCAGGCCTTAGGTGATCTTAACCATAATCTTTTACTCCAGACATCTGTAGGTTGTTCTTTTGCCTTAGAATGTTTTTGAGCAATGCCAGTCACTTTTCTTGCCTGGGTGAGTTCTGAGTTAGGTGAAACAGAGGTGAAAGTCTTGTATCAACCTTTCAGGTAGCCCTGAGACAAGTTAGAACAGATCTACACAATAATTTGTGACTGAGGTCATCTTTGCTCCCTCTAGAATCAGGGAGAGAGTGGTACAAGTGTAATGAAAACTGCCACAAAGCTTTCTTACTGTTTTTAAGTTGCCTTTTTGTTGATTCAGCTTTCACTTAGTTATAAACCTTTGCCTGTCCCAGAGTTTTGACAAAGTTGGTTCTGACAGTTTCTGTTTTTTGTTGTTTTTTAAATTTCTGTTGGAGGACAGGAGCTTGGAGCTACCTACTCTACCATTTTATTGCTTAGAAAAAGTGTTTAAAGTTAGGAATTTACACATATTGAAAATGCATTTTGTCCTGGAGTAATATCTCAACTATTCACATATCTCTTCAGTTTCTCCTTAGCTGTTTCCATCCCTGTTGTGGACTTCGCATGATTTCCTGTGTCTGCTTAGAGATCTTTCTTGTTCTGTGATTGCATTTGCAGGTTTTGGTGCCAAACAGCACAGGTTGACTTTCACAAGCCTACTTATAAAAATATATATTTTATTGATTTTTACAGAGAGGGGAAAGGAGAGGGACACACACATACACACACAAGGGGGAGAGAGAGACACCATAGAGACAGAGAAAGAGAAAGAAACATCAGTCAGTTGCCTTCTGCACAGCCCCTACCAGGGAGCAAGCCTGCAACCCAGGCATGTGCCCTGACCTGGAATTGAACCGGGGACCTCTTGGTACACAGGATGATTGATGCCCAAGCAACTGAGCCACACCATCCAGGGCACAAGCCCACTTTTTAAGAAACTGTTTGTCTTGCCCTGGGAAATTTATCTACAAATATCTAGAGTGTCTATTCCAGGGCCCACCCCAGTCCTGGCTGGAGCCTGAACACTTGGTTCCATTGTGGCTCCTTGACTTCCCTTTTTCTTGACTCTAACTCTTGGTCATGTTTATGGAGTGGCATGGTATGGAAGTTCAGTAGGTTACTGCTTTTTTGAAGAAAGCCTTATTCATTTCATGAACTTATTCATTCCCTTTGTTACTAAAAGGCAACTGTTGAGACTCACAGAGGAGGTCTCCATTTGGTTCTCAGTTTTTCCTTGTAAGAGTTAGGGCTGACTGGGTGCTCTCTGGATGCAGGTGCAGTGACAAGCCTGGGACCAGGGCCTGGAATGATAAGGTCCAGCCCCTAGACTTGGGGCCTGCTCGTTGCAGCTCAGGGCCACAGGTTTTCCATTTCTGACTGTTCATTTCCCATATGATTACCTCTTATTTGGGTTGTTAATACTCTTCTTTTTGTTTGCTTGTTTGATTTTTAGTCTCTCTTTGTCCTTTCCACAGTTTCTTAGTTTAGGATTGTCTTCATCCTCTGACTCATGACTCAGGTTCTTTATTTCGGGTTATTAACATAGATTTTGAATAGAGAGGAAGGAGGGGAGATTGTAAACATTTTTCTTTTATTGAGTTATGCTTTACGTGCAATACAATGCACAACTTTCAAGGGCTTATTTTGATAGGTTTTGTCAATTTGACAGTTGTTTACAGCCTTGTAATCACCATCCAAAACAAGATATAGAACATTTCTATCATCTCAGAAAATGTGTTTGGCAAGAGGGAAGTTTTGGCCCGGCTGGGCGTGGCTCAGCGGTTGAGCGTTGACCGAGGATCCAGGAGATCGCGGTTCGATTCCCGGTCAGCCCATGCCCGGGTTGTGAGCTCGATCCCCAGTCGGAGGCGTGCAGGAGGCAGCCCATCAATGACTCTGATCATTGGTGTTTCTATCTCTCTCTCCTTCTCCCACTCTCTGAAATCAATAAAGATAATTTTTTTTAAAAGAGGGAAGTTTTGCCTATTTTTTTTTTAGTTGTTTTGTCTTTTTATTGTTGATTTCTACTGTTCTGCATATATTCTGGATGTGATCAGTCCTTTGTCAGATATATGTATTGCAGATATTTTTTTTCCTGGCGTGTGACTTAATTAATGGTATCTTTTGACTCATTATTTAAAAATTTGATGAAGTCCCATTTATCAGTGTTTTTACTAATTATTAGAGCTTTTTGTGTCCTGGCCAAGAAATCTTTGCCTACTACAAGGTTGTGAAGAGAGTCATATATTATCTTCTAGGAGCTTTGTAGTTCTGGGTTTTATGTTAAGGTTTAGGATCCATTTTGAGTTAATTTTTGCATATAATTTATAGATGAAACAGGAGTCTACTTTCATTTTTCCCCATACAGATGATTAATTGTTCCATCACCATTTGTAAAAAGACTTTCTTTTCACATTGAATTGTTTTGGTACCCGGTCTAAAGTCAGGTTGTGGGTTTATTTCTTCACACTCTGTCCTCTTGTTGTGTTCGCCTACCTTTATGCCTATGCTGTACTGTCTTCATTACTATAATTTTATAGTTCTCAACCTGGGCAATTTTGATTTCCTTGGGACATTTGGTGATGTTGGAAACATTTTTGGTTGTCACAGGTGCGGATGAGGGGGCGGCCTATCTAGGGTAGAAGCCTGAGATGCTGCTCAGCATCCTCTGTGCACAAGACAAATCCCCACAGCAAATAATTATTCAGTCTAAAATGGCAGTAGTGCCAAGGTTGAGAAACCTGCTTTGTAAGTAAGTCTTGAAGTCAGCTAGTGTACGTCTCCCACTTTTGTTCTTTTTCTAAATACTGTTTGACTAGTCTGTCTCCTTTGTATTGCTGTATGAATTTTAGAAGAATCTGCTTATCAGTTTCTACCAAAGAACCTTCTATGATTTTGATAGGGATTGCTTGAAAATATAGATCTGTCCAATATGCTAGCTATTAAACTTTAAAAATAATTAAATCTGAAATAATTAAAATAGTATAAGTAAATAAATAATATTAACTACAATTAGAAACTTAGTTTCTCAGTTGTACTAGCCCTATTTCAAGTGCATAGTAGCCACATGTGGCTAGTGGCTACCACGTTGACTAGCATAGCCAGAGCACACTTCCATCGTCATAGCAAGTTCTTCTGGACAGCAGTGGTATAGATCAGATTGGAGATTTATTTATTCTTATCTACCTGTATGCTAAGTTTTTTTGTAGATTATCAGATTGTAGAAGTTCCATCGTAGTCTTAGTTTACTGCTAGTTTTTAATTATGAATGAATATTCAATTTTGTCAGATGCTTTCTTTTGTTGAGATGACCATATAGTTTTACTACTTTACTTAATAGTTTTACTGGTTTTTGCAGGTTAAATCATCCTTAAATTATTGGGATAAATGCCACTTGGTCATGATGCATTAGTTTATATTAGTTTGATTTGATAATAGGAATTTTTGCCTCTGTGTTGATGAGGGATTTTGGTCTGCATTCTCTGTCATAATCTCCTTCTCTTGGTATCAGGGTAATGCTGGCCTCAGAATATGTTGAGAACCTTTCTAGGAGGGGAGATTTACTAGTAACTGAGCTCTTTACTTCGTGCCACTTTATAGATGCCATCTCCTTTAATCCATACAACCTTGGTAGGAGGTAATCACATCCCTCCTTTGCACGAGAGGAACCTCAGCCTCAGAAACGTGAAGTAATTTCCCAAGGGCACATAGCTATAATTGGTGGGGCCAAAATTTAATTCCAAGCTACAGGGCCTCTCTAAGACCAGCCCCTGAATGATACCTCCCACTACTAGCTCTGCTGGGGTAAACCAGGCTGTGCCTCAGGTGACAGCAGCCCTCAGTTTATGAGGCAGAGCCTGATCATCTGCCTGGGCTGTGCTCGCAGCAGGGGAGCCTGTGGGGCTGAGGCCATTCCTGGGCCCTCTGGCCTGTTTCAGGTGGGTTCTCTTGCCTGTCCTGTTTTTCCTGGAGTGTGAGGGTCCCCTTTGCCATTCTCTGAAGAGGAGATTTTGGTTTCTCCATAGAAATCAGCTCTTGTTGCTGAGAGCACATTCCCATTGTGAGTAGAACTGGGAATTGCTCAGAAGCTCAGCGCGGATAATTTCTCTCTTCTAGGATGCTTGGATATTAATTCATCTGTGAAAGGGGCTCGTTTTGTCCGATTCTGTGATGCGTTCAACATTCCACTCATCACTTTTGTTGATGTCCCTGGCTTTCTGCCTGGTAAGTCATTGACAGAGGTGGGAGCCAGGGGAGGTAGCTTTGCCCAGTGAGATACCCACTTGATTTGGAGATCTTGCAAAATTCCCTGAAGATTTGTGACTTCTCCATAATCAGTTGTCTAGAAGTGGGATTGTGTGAGGGTTGCTCCTCTCCTGGCCCTTTGGGGCGCAGGGGAAGACCTCATAGCTGAGTGGCAGGCAGACCTTATGAGGACTTTTGTGGGTCTCTGGTAACTCTTCCTCATTACCTAGGCACAGCACAGGAATATGGGGGCATCATCCGGCATGGCGCCAAGCTTCTCTACGCATTTGCTGAGGCAACTGTTCCCAAAGTTACAGTCATCACCAGGAAGGTGAGAAACTCACCTACTCACTCCTACCAGCATGGCTGTGGTTGGAGGTCTGGCCAAGAGTTTCAGCAGTGGAAGGAGGAGTATTACCTCCCTCACCCTTAAAAGAATTGTGTGAGGACAGCATTTACAGCTCTGGAGACACACTCTGCAGAGATGTCCGTGGTCAGCTCTGGGAACTGAAAATGGCAGTGGGAAAAAGCCATGAAAGACAATGGGTGTTGACTGTGAAAGCCTCTGGCCTGTGCCCATGGATTCTCTGCTCTGGCTCCCTGGCCTCAGAGGCATTGGGCTTTCAGTAGCCTGGGAGGGCTCTTTCTGTCCTCATTTCATTTGGATTCTTGGGGTCTTTCAGAGACATCATCTGGTTGACTCAAGGCCTAACCTTCAGCTTGTGGGTCTGTTCTAGGCCTATGGTGGCGCCTATGATGTCATGAGCTCCAAGCACCTGTGTGGTGACACCAACTATGCCTGGCCCACAGCAGAGATTGCAGTCATGGGAGCAAAGGTGAGGACCTCTAGCTTTCTCTTTTCCTGGGTCTAGGGACTGTACTCTCCCAGCAGGAGCTGAAAGCACAGCTGGCAAATGCTGGAGAGAGGCCGGGATGGGCCAGAACTCCAGGGAGTTGGGGCCCAGAACTTGGCAAGTCTCCCTCCTGGGGCCCCAGGGCCAGCCAGCTCTACCTCTTGTCCTGCAGTCTCACTTCAGGCCCATGCTGGTATCTCATGCTCAGGGTGGCAAGAGCCCAGAGGGGTTTTGAGATTGTCAGTAAAGGGATAAGTCAGCTATATTACCCTTCGGGAGGGTTGGGCATTTCTCCCAACCCCATCTCATCTCCTAGAGAGGGCCCCAGAGCCACTCCTTTGAATCCATAGAAGCTGAATTAGTTCAGACCCTGGTGACTTTTGCTCAGCCTGTTCCCCACCCCTTTCTTGCTTTGAAATAGCTGTTGGGGTTGAACCAGATAACCCTCCTGCCTGAGCCGGCTTTTAGCGGTTCTGATGTGAAGGTTTATTTTTCAGTCCCCATGCTTCTGCATTTGCAGTTCAGTGTGTCCTCTTCTGTCCATGGAATTTTGTACTTGGGGCTCAGGGTAATGAAAAAGGAAAACAGCATTTTACTTCCCCTTGATGCAGGGGACCATGGATCTAATAGTGGAAAATAGGCCACATGTCTTTGGATAAGTGCAGTTGGCGGATGGTAGGACAGAATCTGGGGAGACAGCTCCTGGTTTTGTGTGGGCTGCCTGTTACCAGGGCCACAGCTGAGTATCCCGTCAGCAGCCCCTGGAATCATGATGGCTGACTCCATGTAGTTTTATCTCTGTGCCCTGGCACCTGGAGCTGGCCCTTCACTCCAGTACACTTTTATTTTTAAAAATGTTTTTGTTGATTTTAGAAAGAGGAAGGGAAAGGGAGAGAGAGAGAAGCATCTATGAGTGAGAGCCATTGATCGGCTATCCCTTGCACACCCCCTGCTTGGGACAGAGCCCGCAACTTTGGCATGTGACCGGGAATCGAACCAGTGACCTCTCGGTGTACGGGACAGTGCTCAACCAGCTGAGCCACATTGGCCAGGGCACTCTAACACATTTTGATTTACCAAGAAGTTTGCAGCCATAGACGATGATCATGAGTTGAGAGTGGGATCTACAGTGAAGTTCATTAACCCCTCTCGTGACAGGGTGCTATGGAGATCATTTTCAAAGGGCATGCGAATGTGACAGACGCTCAAGCGGAGTACATCAACAAGTTTGCCAACCCTTTTCCTGCAGCAGTGAGAGGTAGGAACTGTGGTGGGGAGGGCAGCTTGGTTCATTTTTTGGGTCACTTCTCATTCTTTTTCTCCAGATAGTCTCATGTTACTGCCTTTTGCCATTACAGTTGAATCTGAAGACTGTTAAAGGTTGGGGTGGTCCCTGGGTAGTTGTCATTGGAGGACAGTGGGGCCTGTATAGGCTGCTTTGGTAACCAGGATCCAAACAACATTGCTGAAATGGCTAAATTTCTTAGCTTTGTTCTCGTTACCTAGTACTGTGTAAAACTCCACCACAAAAACAGAGTGGCTTAAAACAACCCCTCCCCCCCTTTTTGTTCATGGTTCTTTGGATCAGTGATTTGATTTGGGCTGAGCTAGGTGGTTCTTCTGCTGGTCTTGCCTGGGATCATTCACTTAGCTGGAGCTGGAGAGTCCAGGATGGCCTCTTGCGTGGTTGGGGCTGCCACCAGCTGGACGCTCTTCACGTGGTTTCCTCCTCTTTAGGAGGCTCGTCCATGCGTGTCCTGAGAGGGGAAGCTGCAAGATGCCTTGAGGCCTAGGTTTGGAAGTTGCATAGTGTCACTTTTGCCACATTTTGTGGCAAATCATAAAGCCAGGTAAAGAAATAGAATCTACTTTTTAAAATTTTTATTTACTATTTTTAAATTATTTTTTTATTTTCTTAATCCTCACCCAAGGACATGCTTATTAATTTTAGAGAGAGAATCATTGTGCGAGAGTAACCGATGGGTTGCCTTCCCGTACAGAACCCTCAGCCTAGACATGTGCCCTGACTGGCGTATGGGACGATGCTCCAGCTGACTGAGCCAGGGCCAGAATCTGCTTCTTGATGGGAGGAGTGTCAGTGTCACATTGTAGAGGGACTCGTGTACAGGAATGGGAAAAATCGTAGCTATTTTTGAAAATACATTTGTTTTCTTTATATCCTATTGAATTCATCTTGGCAGGAAGGTAGGTCACATTTTCCTTTTCTTGCAAAGTTGGGGACCTGCCAGAGGAATAGGGGAGTTCCAGGGATGCAGGAGAGGGTTCACAGGGCCCAGCCCCTCTTATGTCAAGTTGGGTCCAGCTCATACTGTGGGTCCCAGAGGTGGTGCCCAGGTTGAGCACAAGATTGGAGGGTGGCATCATCTGGGGATGCAGATGATCTTCCTTTTCTGTGCCTCACCAGGGTTTGTGGATGACATCATCCAGCCTTCCTCTACACGTGCCCGAATCTGCTGTGACCTGGATGTTTTAGCCAGCAAGAAGGTACAGCGTCCTTGGAGGAAGCATGCAAATATTCCATTGTAAACGAATCAAAGGAAAAAATAAACCAAGAAATTACTGCCTGGCCATTCAAACTCATCCCTTCCTTTTTTGCAATCATGAAACCATAGAATCTAAATAACAGTAATTACTGGGAATGGCTAAGTTTATTAAATTCTAGAAAGATTTCATTTATGCCTTACTGTAAAATTATTTGCTTTATTAAAAATTGGTATAATTTTGAGCATAAATTTCTTTTTTTATGGTAGAAATCTGAAAAATCAAGAAAACAATCTATATAGTATTGTCACTGAGCGCTGTCCCTTATTTGATACTCTGTGTATTGTCATCCCCGCCCCTCCCAAGAATTAATTTTTTTCTCTCCACAGGTGAGATGATAAGCTTTGAGGGTAAAGTACTTATCTGCTTAGGCTTCAGTTTCCTTACTTTTAAATAATATGCCCTATCTTTTAATTCTTCCAGGACTTGCTGAGAGTTAAATGAGATGTTTGTATGTGTATGTAACAGAATAGTTTCTAAGTAAGGAAAATACCCTATGTTATTTCCAGAAATGTGTTCTCACACTAAAAAATGTTATTTTGGAAATTTTCAAACCTATAGAAATGTTGCAGGGGTTGTATTATGTACCCTTCACTTAGATTCTCTAGTTCTTAACATTTTCTACATTTGCTTCCTCTCTTCCATAAATTTATAATCATTATTTTTATTGACCCATTTGAGAGTAAGTTGCAGAATCCTGACCCTTTGTTCCCCCAAAATGTCAATGTTTATTTTCTAGGAAACAAGGCCTATTACTTTACAGTCTTTCATGACTGACATTTTTGAAGTGTTTGCCAGTTATTTTGTTGAATGTCCCTCAATTTGGGTTTGTCTGATTGTTTTGGATGTTTAGATCCAGGTAAGAGCAATACATGTGTTCTTTCTGTGTATCACGTTAGGAAACATGTGATGTTAGTTTTTTCCACTGATGAAATTGACTCAGATCACTTGGTTAAGGTGGTGGTTGCAAAGGTTACCATTTTCTCTTTGTAATTAATAACTAATCTAGGAGCTTTCTTTAAGCCTGTCAACAAACTTTTATCCAATACTTAAGTATTCATTGATCCCTGCCTCAATCAGCTATTCTATATTGATTGTAGAATATTACATTTCTAACTCTATCATTACGTCTACATTAGTTGGTACTCTACTGGAAGGAAGGGCTTTCTCTTCTGTTTTGTTATCAGTTTAGACTCATTGATTTTTAAAAACATTTTTCCTGAAATAGTTTTTCTTACTATGCTATCACCCTGTCAAATTTTCAAGCACATGTTAGTTATCTCTCTCTGCCCTGTTCCTACCCTACCCCAAGAGTTAGTTTCTTGAGATTGGGAGTCATATATTGTTCATAATTAAAATCTGTGCTTCGTGTTTCATAAATGTTTTAGTGAATAAATATGTTTATTAATAAAATTTAGGCTCCTGAATTTGTTTAAAATTTAATGTTATTTATTTTGATCCACAAAATTTCCTGATTTGGCCACAGGGAGCTTCTTAAAGCTGGCTTAATTCTTTTGATATGTCCCAATGATTTTTGTGTGCACATCCTTAGTTTTTGACACATGATAATGTACCAGCCCTGGAATAGTGATTTCTCCAAGAGCCCTGGTTTCTTTTAGATGTCATATAGGAGCTATAATTGGCACTAGATGTTCACATTGATACTGGGGTATCATTGCTTCTAGGTATTTTCAGCAGACTAGAAAATATTTAAACAGGTATGTGGCTATACATGTATGTGGGGAGCTTGAATATATAAATAGTATATTTATAACTTTAAAACATTTATTATATATGTATATAATTTTTATTATGTGTGTAATTTTAAAATCATGAGTTCATACTGAAACTTTTAATTCCAGCCTAACATACTGGTTCTTCTTTGCCTTCCCCTATTCCATATTTATGTCTTCTCCCACAGTGATAAACCTGACTGCCATTGCCTTTAAAATATTTTACTCATTTGCTCAGTCCTACAATAAATATAAATATAAAAGTTTCAGAACCACTACAGCTATACCAACAATAAACCTAAGGTAAAGTTCAAGACTTTTTTGTAGTTCTGTCTTTAAACTGAAGGTTCATGGTCAAGTTATTTGCATTAGTAACTGGGTAGTTATCAATTTGAGAGTCAAGAGTCCTTTGTTTTCTACTGTCCTTGTCAACTATTTTACTGAGTATGTAAAACAATGAGAGTCATACTGGAACTGGAGATTTTAAGTAGTTTCAGCAGAAAGACCAACCATGGAGTCCTGTTCCAGTGTGCCCCACCGGGGGTGCTTTTTTCTGCGGTGAGAGCCCTGATGACTTTCTCTCGCTCCAGCCCCTTGGCTCCAAAGGTCTTTGTGCCCTGCTTGGGTGTTGCATCACTTAAAGCTCATCTTTTTTTTTTTTTTAAATATATCTTTATTGATTTCAGAGAGAGGAAAGGAGAGGGAGAGATAGAAACATCAATGATGAGAGTCATTGATCCAGCCCACAACCCGCGCATGTGCCCTGACTGGGAATCGAACCCTGATCGCCTGGATCCTAGGTCGCCCGGCCGGGCGAAGCTCATCTTGATCAAAGCCAGTATATGACCATCATCCACCTTCCCCATTTCTACCAGTCATCCCACCATTCCAGGGAGCCAAGCTTAAGCCCTTGGGAGTTTTTTTAGTTCTTTTGAGCACCTTTCTTCCCTCTCCAGTTGGAGAATGGGACTCTCCATTCTAGGTGGGCTCTGAGTACTCCTGCAGTAGTCTCTACTCTCATCTCTGTGGCCTCCCCCAAGCCTGTTCTGAGCTAAGACTAGTTGCAGGTTGATTTTTTTGCACTCCGCTGCTCTAGCACTTCCAGTAGATAATACACTGTTCTCCAAAGTCTTTGGCCCACATAGTAGGTTCCTGTCTGTTCCTCCCTTGCTTGCCTAGTCAGTTTTTTGAGCCCAGTCTTGTTGTGTCCATTTTTGGAACTCTTGCTTTTTAGTCTGCTCATGCTCAAAGGCCTGTCTTCTCCATGAGTTCGTCTCAAATTGTGAACTCAAATGGATTCTGCTTATAGCAGGTTTTTTTGTTTTTTTAAAGCACCTGTGTTTTTTCCCTTATACTACATATATTTTTATTCCTAACTAAGTGGAAGTTCCTGAGGGGCAGAGACTGTGTTTGGCCAGAGGTTCTTTGTACTCTTTGGCACCTAGTACAGAACCAACAGGAAGACTGTACGCCTTGGAAGCTGGGAAAGGGGGTGTAGCAGACTACTGGGCTCTTACAGGCCTCCTGGCTACAGAAGAATCACAAGGGTTGGTCAGTATGTGGCTCAACAGCTTAACATCGCCTGGCTAGTACAATTTCTGGGGTCAGCCAATCTAGGATTTGAACTGTTTGAGGGATGACTGTGCATGTAAGAGTAAGAGCAAACACAAGCTCGTGTCTCTTTTTTCTTTTTGAGGAAGGAGTCCAAGAAGTGTTTTACCAGGTTGTGAAATCTGGATGCTGAGAAGGGCTTTGTGCCTGGGCCTGCTAAAATAGGGGAACCAGCCTAGTAAAGCATTTGGGTAAGAGGCTTCTAGAAAGCCTTGGAGTAGAGACAGTGGGAGAAGTCCCATCCAAAAGCCAAGCTGGTGGCCAAGGAAACGTGAAGCTGCAAGACCCTGGAAGCTTTGTCAGCTAGACCAGACTGTGGACTGCAGAGTGCCTCGAGAATGGTGACGGTGCGCATGCTCATTGACTGCTGTGTAGGATTGCCTTTCCCAGCTGGTGTTCTCACATCAAGGGGAAAAAGAAAAATTGATTCTTGTAACTAGAGAGGACTTGGGTTCATTGAGCAGAGTGCTGGCGTGTCCCAGTCCAAGTGAGGACCTGCCCCTACTCCAAGGAAGTAAACCAATTTGACCCGAGCCGCACAACTGAGTGGTGAAGCTAGGATTTGAACTCAGGCAGATTTTTCTGAACCCCAAGCCTGTTTCCTGAACTATTCAGAGTATTGCCTCAAATGATGAGGTAGGTGGGATGAGCTCCTAAGGGTTTGGATGAGAAAAGTGGCAGTCTGCTCCACTGTGAGGGTCTGAGAGGACCCAGAGAGAGCTGCTGGATTGGAAAAGCTCCCCGCCCTCATCCGTAACAGCCAGTCATCTTTGAGGTGCTAGAGTAACGGGAGCACATCCACATGCAGCTTTCTAGTGCTTGTTAGAAAGTGCTTGAGAAAAAGCTTCTCCCAGCTTCCCTTCTGACCATGTCTTGGTCTCCCCAGCCCAGTTCTCAGCCTCTGGATGCACTGGTGCTGGTGTTAGATGTAGTCTGCCCACTCAGAGACGCCTCTGAAGGACCCTCACCCCTCTCTTGAACCAGCCTAGATTTTACCTGTTTGACAAATGTATTTCATGTCCTTTTGGTTTCAGAGGATCTCTAGAGAGCTATGGCATTATTCTTTTAGTGAGATCTGGTCTTCATGTTCTCTTGTAGCTGTCAGCATGGGATCGCCACCATTCTAAGAGCTGTGGCCACTAAATAAGCAGTGTCTTAGTCTGGGGCTTTTGTGGAATCCAGCCAACACACTTGGGTAGATGTGGCAGCCTTGATAGGTAGGTTCTGACCATGTCCCTTCTGTGCTGGTGAGAAAAGACTCCCCTTTTGTTTCCCAAGCAAGCAGATGTACTTCAAAACATGATGCCTAATAGAGACCTCTATAGAGTAAGGCACTTGGGAGGGCAGGGGTGGAAGCTTCTCTGGGTTCGGTCTATTCATACTGAAAAGCCTGAGCAGGCACTGAGCCTTTGTTTCCCAAGAAGACACTGTTCTGGGTTGGTAGACTCAAAGTCACAGTCAAGTGAAAGCTTGTCCCAAGGTAAAGCCCTGCTCTCATTTCACAAATGTATACCCTTTAAGGTGAGCTGGCAGGGAGACAAACCCATCCTTATCACCTTCCCTCCTTTGCTGTTTAGAGAGCTTGCCTGCTGACTTAACTCCTGCATCCCTGCCTTTTCTGCAGACAACTTAGGCCACCTAATGAACACAGCCCACAATACATGGCCAGGCCCATAAAGTGTGTGACTGCTTAAACGTGACCTCTAGCACCAGTATAAAGAAAAACCCTCACTTCTATGGCCATGTAGAATCCAGGTGGTCTTTAAAGGACCACCGTTAGGGGACAACCATGCATAAGCCCAGCGCCTGGATCTCAGGCAGGGGGAGGACCCAGGCTATAGACCAGTCTCTGGATGCTGCCTCCAAAACGCAGCCTGCAAAAGACTTCCTCTTAAACCACAGGCAACTTGGCCTACCCATTCTCTCATGGGAAATCCAAGCATTGAAAGAAAATTAGAGCTAGTCCTAAATTTTTCTTTTTAAAAAAATAAATCTGACAGTAATTTTGTGACCCTGCAGCAAATTATCTGAAAGAGCAAACTCTCAAGAGTAGTGGGACAGAAAATCTTCTCTAAAGCTTTCCTAGTAGGAACAATAGGATGACTACCACAGCCTGATTTTGAATAGTTTATTAAAGGAAAGGTGAAGCATCAGTTTCAAATTGTACAAAAGGAAAAAAAACCTCATATTGCAAATGTACAATTTACAGAATTACTAGCAAAACCAATCAAGGAGACACTGAAAATACAAAATTTCGATTGATTTCAAACTGAACTGGAAACCCATTGGAGTAGATATTAAGCCTTTTTGTTGATCTACAATTTTAAGTCAGCATCTGTTTTCCACATGAGACTGTCAAGCAAAGGATCAATCTGTGCATGTGCCAGGGCATCTCCTGGCTTGCTTCCTGGCCAGAACCACAGGTAGGGCTGGCATGGTGGACTGTCCAGTCATTCCTGCCCCTTCACTTCCGGGGAAGTCCACATCTCTGGAAGAAAGCAAGATCCCACTCCCCCTAACTGGAGCCCAGGAATTGCTAAATTAGCAGATAAGTCATTTTTGGCAACTGAGTTTTTTTAGAACTACACAAATGTTGAAAAAAATATGTTTTGTGTTTGTTTACTAAAAAGATGAAAATCCATTTTGCTTTCCTGGACAAAAGATAATCATTGGGCGCACAGATTTTTAAAAAAAATGCTTTTCGTTTTTGGTAAAAAGGGCAAGCCTCATGATTCTGTTGCAGCTACTTGAAAAACCAGCCCAGAAACAGTTGTGGATGGACTGGTTTGGAAATTGAGGCTTACTTTAAAAATCAGAAAGGAAGCAACTAAGTGGGCTTTTAAAAACAATAGCAGCAAGTCATAAAAGGTCTAAGCAGACTGTAACTCTAAAACCACTGAAGGCTGTCCTGAAGATTCGCAATTTCTTTCCCCAAAATTATTATCCTCAATATGCACATTTAACACTGAAATGTAGCTGTATTTCAAGGTAAGCTTAGGAACTTCACCCTCTAAGCACAGACTTCTATGCAGCACATACTTCTATAATCGGTAAACTCAATTCACAAAATTAGCGCAAAAAGG